GACCTTTCGAAGGGTCGCGCTCATAGTAGGCGCGGCGGTCCTGCGCTTAGCAGAGGGAGGGCTCCGAATGCCGCTAAGGAGGCAGAGGCGGCGACGACACTAACCGTTCTTGGGTCTTGGTCATACTGCATCGCTTCGCTCCGCTCTTCATCCAGTGTGTCAACGCCGTCGTCCGTCACTGCAGGCTGTCGTCCGTATCCATCGAGCCATGCAACACGAGAATGCTGGACCAAAGTAGGGCTTCGCCGATCGTCACGGGTAACCACTAGGAGCGGCGGTTGCATCGGAACTTTCTAGCAGCCTGAGGGCAGCATGCCTTCAACATTGTAGTGGGCTTTCGACTCGTGGCCCTTAGGAGAGCGTAGGCAGGATCGTCTCCATAGGCTGAGGCCGTTACTTGTCTTTTCCTCATTAGTTGTTTCTCATATCTGTTATTTCATAGTTTACTTGTCAGGGGGCAGTAAATCAATTGAAGATTTATGTTTATTGTTCATTATCCCTGAGGGAGTAGGGGTGGCATATGAACATGGCATAGAACTGGCTGCTCGTGAGATTCGTTTGTTCGAGCTTGAGACAGCTGTCATCTTGATCTGTGCTGGACAGAGAGAGGACCACAACTGTGTCAAAATGAAAAATCTCTCCAAAGCACAGACACCGCCACGTTCAGCTAAAGAACGCAGCCACGCCTACCACGTCTCAGGGATTTTGAGTGTACTGTCCTCATCATTACGGACTGTCGGGGCGTGTCAGCCAGTAGGAGTGCGCACACTGTTGAAGCCGTTCTCAGCCTTTTTGTTGAAACGCGTATGCGACAAAAAGTGGTAGAAAACGAGTAATACGAAGGATATAATACAGTAATGTCTCTCATGCCATACTTTCAACAATTGGTGCCAGGAACGACTTCGGGTACCGCGCCAGACGCAGTCGCACTGAACGCTCGACAGTCCGTAATGATTGAGAATTGTTACGTGCGTCTGTTGTGTACACCGCGCAGGTGTAGTAAGGGCTCTCAGGCTGCGGATAGCAACAACCTACCCGCGCAACACCGCAGACTAGCGCTACGTTAGTCATCTGCACGAACTCATGCGCTCTTTACTTCCACACGGACTCTGATGCTAGGATCCACCTGAAAGGAGGTATAGACACCAGCCATGATGGAGGAAGGAAGCGCATAAAACTGAAAAACATTCCTCCTAGCGCCTAACTTGTAGTTGGCTATGTTGTTCTTAACTCGACGCCACTGTTGAGCTAGAATGACTATTAGGTTGTCCGGAAAGTTCTCAGCGTTTTGAGTGTTTCACTTTAAACGATCATAACTTTCTTAATACTCATCGGATTTAATCGAAATAAGCACCGTTCGAATCAGCACACTTTTGCCAATGTGATACCAGTCGATAAATCCCATCAAAGAAAAAAACTGGGTGGTCGAGAATCCACGAAATCCACGGAAGGCTTTTTTGCCTGGTCCTGATTGATGAAGTATTTTCCAGCAAGGAAGTTCTGAAAATGTTTGAAAAGGTGATAGTCGGTTGGTGAAAGGTCTGGAGAATATGGCGGTTGAGGTAGAACTTCAACCCCCAATTCGTTCAATTTATGGATAGTGATTTGTGAAACGTGTGGGCGGGCGTTGTCATGCAAAAGAATTGCGACCCTTCTGTGAACAAGTGCTGACTTGCAAGCTGGCGCAGTTATTCGTATATCTTCATCGATTTTCTTCATAGGATCATGCCGTGTAATGGTTTGGCGTGGTGGACAAAAGTTATAGTGGATCATCACAGCCCGATGACCACCCACTGCTGCCATTAATCTTTTTTTTTTCGTGAGGATCGGCTTTGAAAAATCAGCCTCGGTGTGGTTCATCTCGGGCGTCCAACCACTGCGTAACGCTTCCTTGTTATCATACCATTGATCCACTTTTCATCACAAGGTGACCAATCTGGGCGCCAAAAAACAGGTAGTTATCTTTTACGTTAAAACCCGTGAAGAAAGAAACTCGAGCGTGCCAATTTTCTGCTGTGTTCACTCAATTGTGGGGCACCCACTTGTCGAGTTTTTTCACCTTCCCAATGCGTTTCAGACCATCCGCAACAGTGGATTTGCCAACGCCTAGCTTTCTGCAATCTCTCGAACTGTTTGGGATGGGTCAGCCTCCACAAACGCCTTCAAATCCTCGTCAGGTATTGCTTTAGGTCGACCGCTACGAGGTTCATCTTCAAGGCTCCAGAAACGAAATTTGTCGAACCATTGTCGCACGGTGCTTTCTCCAACACTATTGGGCCCCACACCTGGTTAATTTGTCGAGCTGTCTCGACTGCGGATTGACCCAATTTGTAGTTGAAGAAAAATATCGTCCGAAGTTGCTCTTTTGACATGCTTCAAAAGTCTTGGGAAAAGGGGCTTTATCAAGCCAATGTTTAAACGGCAATTCACCATACAGATTTAGAGCAAAAAAACCTTCAGGATGTACTACTGCAAGGGAGATTGAGTTTTTAATCAGCAATGAATGTACAAAAAATGGTAACACAAAACGCTGAGAACTTTCCGGACAACCGAATATTTTGTTGTGCGATACCTTCATCTCAATGAGCGGAATGTGATGAACCCTTGTTGGATTTTTGACTTACAAAGAAAACGATGCTGAGACCTTGGAGGGGCGATGCCAAGGAACTCCTTGTGCATAACTAGATTCATCATACCGGAAATGATTGTCTTCGCCTCGGCGGGATGAAGTGCTCCGGTATGTGTGAACTAATTTAGAGTACAGAATCGTAATTCTAGTAAGACGACGATGTTTCCTTATTTTGAATGAGGAGACCTTCGAATGGCGCTCCCAGGTTATTCAGATTACCTTACCGAAATATACACAAGGTAAAGGCCAGTCCCTGGCGATCGCCATCGATGTGCAGACTGGAACCATTGGACCGCCTGGTAATTGGAAGATTAACGAAGAAAGAGGGAAATAGATATCTCGAGAAGCTCTAAATAAATAAAGCCGATGTTTCCAACTCAACATATGAACAAATCGCACGCGCACTTGTGCAACAAAGGCGTTTCTGCCGCTGGGTAATTGTGGACTTATCTTTAGCCAAAAAAACGATTTTCTAGCTTTGAAGCGATTATTGTCAATAAAAAATGTATCACCTTCAATGCTGCTTTCTTAGGTGGATCTCCGACTGAAGAAGACGGCACTGCCTTCGGTGCTTCGATCCTTGCTGGATCTTCAACCAATGGTAGCTCCCCTCTCTTCGATGCAGTTTGCTTTGTTTTATCTCTGGCCGACGACTTTGCTACCTTTGGTGCTGCTGCTTTCGTTGGATCCTCTACCGGCAATGGTGAGACTGCCTTTAGTGCTTCGGTTTTCGCTGGATCCCCAGCGGATGGTAGCTCCCCTCTCCTTGAAGCAGTTTGTTTTGTTTTGTCTCTGGCCGACGACTTTGCTAGTTTGGGTGTTGCTGCTTTCGTTGGATCCTCTACCGGCAATGGTGAGACTGCCTTTAGTGCTTCGGTTTTCGCTGGATCCCCAGCGGATGGTAGCTCTCCTCTCTTTGATGCAGTTTGCTTTGTTTTGTCTCTAGCCGACGACTTTGCCACCTTTGGTGTTGCTGCTTTCGCTTCTTGTGGAACCCTAAATTCTTCTCACTAAGCCCACTTTCTGGGTTGTTGCCCTGATTTTCTTGAACATGTTTTTTATATTTATACAAAAACTCTCAAATGACCATCACTTACTACCCCAGTAACGTCAATCTTTTTCCGCTCAAACTCTGCCTATAAGGATAACTCAGAGCCTTGATGTGCTCGGCTCGAAAAGGCGTCATCAGGTCACTAACACCTTTTTATCACGAAGGACTAATTTTTTCAGACCAGGGTTATTTAACGTTCTGATTACAAATATAACACTAGTTTCAGCCTGCACATTGTCCCGTTATTGTTGCAATACCTTTGCCATTGATGTCAACATTTCCATGACTTCTGCCAAACGAGGTTTGTTTGGAACCCTACTGGTAGTGTCTCGCCTTTTGGTGTCTTCGGAGGGTTTGAAAATGTGTGAGCACCTTGAGGTATAGATGGGTCTAGCAACCATCCTGTGAACACTCAAAGCTTATTGTAGCGCATCAGTCTCAGCTTCAATGCGCAGCATGAGCAGAAGCTTCAACGTTTCTGTGTGCGTTATTGTTTGCATGTTATTTTGATTACTCAGTATTCTTTTCTTCTGTTAACACTTACAAATTGAGGGTACAAAGGATTTAAGCACATGTGTCATACCGGGAGGTTTCCTTCTGGAGCTCATAAAATTTTTCTGCAGGCTGTCAGCCGTTACTGTGAAGATTGTCCCTCTGAAACTGATGAGAGTGACATTATTTCATCTCATTTATCAAGTAAGGAATACATGAAACTGTCCATCCAGTTTTCAAAGCGTGATGTGCACGAGTTCGTTGAGAAATGTTATGCGTGGTTCCAATATAATCTCAGTTATCCCGTCTATGCTGACTTCTTGTCCTTAGCCTCCATACTGTTAATGATAACAACTCACGCTCAGTAAACTGGTTGGAGCGACCAAGGAGGATGGACTAGAAATAAAGGCAAGCAAAACCAAATGGATGTATACCAATCCCAACGGTCAACAACTCGGAGTAAACGATCAGAAGTCGCGCTGATACCATCGTAAGTATTGAGTGCTAGTACTTTGCTTCTTGCTTTCTTTGTCGTCTTGGAGAACGCGTTCAGGAGACTGACATAAAGAACGTGTCATACTGAAGCATCAAGAGAAATGTTCGGGCTTTTTCTAAGCGGGCGCCATGAAGAGTGGCGAAGATTAGAGGATAGCAGACAGCTGGTACCCTCCTTCGCGCCGTACTCTGCCAGCTGTCTACTATCCTCCTATCCGCCTCATACTCTCCGCTCCCGGACGCTGCCAGAAACGCTGGTGGACGCTATTGGTCGTCGGTAGGCGCTGCCGTGAAGTATGAACGCGGTCATAGTTGTCCAGAGGCGCCACAGCCGTGCAGCTGGACCGATGCTAATTCAGTCAGAAACGCCAAAAGCGCACCCATAAGCGGGCGCAGGAGGTGCGGGAGAATGTCTATTACACATCTTTACCCAAACATAGTCTCAATTGTCATCAACATGCAGCCGCTGCCGGCTTCACATCCAAATATTAGGTTGGCGGGAAAGTTCTGTCATACTTTTTGAACCCAAGTATTCGCCTATTATCTGAAGAGGGTAAACCGGTAATGTGAGCATTTATACATTAAGGATTGATGTTTCTATGAGTGTCACTGGCTCGGCTCCTGCTCATCCTTATTCTGCATTATGGACAAGAATGTTATCCGCTACCTTCAGCACCGACCCCTTCAAGCGCTTCCTTAAACTATTTCTTCTACCACCCTGGCGCCGGGTATGTGACAAGAGGATCGTAATTTGCCGCGCTGCTGGGCGTCGCGTGCGACGTCTCGCCCGCAAAGGACGATGGTTTCAGGCAGTAGATGGCGACAACATGCAATTAAGGACCGAAAACAGTAATGAGTGTCTACGATGGCGGGGTCTACATGAAGTCCGGTGCTCCATTCGACAGGTTAAAACGAGTTATGAAAACGCCGCGGCATCGCCGGCGCGTGGCGTGTGCGGCAATGTACGGATCCTCTTTACCGACTCTTCCCCCTGGCGCCAGCATGGCAGCTGTCGACGCCGAAATAATGGAGCTGCACAAGGACAATGTCTACAGTCATCAGACAATCTTCCACGACGCTAGCTCTTCAGAGCGGGAGCCTACGGTTCGAATGACGAAGTGAGGTTCGGGAGTACCGGTAACTTCAGCGTTAGATAGCGGTGTTTCGGGAAACTACTGGATGAAGAAGCTGCCTCCTCGGTCAATCCGTACGCAAGGCAGCTACGAGATCTGAAGCGAATCGTCAAGCAGAGGGCAAAATCCATAGGCACAGTCCGTCTTCAACGTGCAACGCACACCCGTCAAAAAAAAGTTCGAGCCGTACTTCATGCAATAGAGCTGGATGGCTCTCCCCTTGCACCGGTGTAGTCCAGACATGCTCTTTCTGACTGCTAGTCGCCTCCCGTATTCAACCGTTATACAGCCGAGAAACCTCCACGACTTGAGCCCAAGTCAAAGTTGAGATGATGTCCAACTTTGCGTCGCGCCGGCGTGCATTGTTAAGCGATGGCATCCACGAACTGTCCAAAAAACTGGCAAGGATCTCTCAATAACATTGCTGTATAATTTTGATCTTGTACGCCTCTCTGTAAAAAGAAAGTCTAATTTGAAAAAATGTGACAGAACTTTCCCGCCAACCTAATATGTGTAAGTGGAAGCGCCATCTTCTTCACTGAGATGTGAAGGCATTTCTTCCAAGACTTTGAGGTATTCGCTCTACACATAAGTGTGTAGAGACGGAGACACTCGTGGACATTGAAGATTAGGAGCACAATTTAATCAGAAGAGTGTTTTTCAAAAGCTCGAGTTCTTTGAAGACTGGGGAGAGCAGTGAACTGTGAACTGCTCAGAACGGAAGCGGCTTAGAAGCGTTCTCCGTTCT